TTCCTGATCTAGGAAGAAACACTTTCCACCTTTCATTATTATGATATTAGCTGTATGTTTATCATTTATGGCCTTTAACAAGCTAAAATGAGTTTCTTCTATACTCAAATTGCTGAGAGGTATTATCATGAATGGATGTTGAATTTTGTAAAATGTTTTTATATCTATTGAGATGATCATGTGGGTTTTATCTTTAATTCTATTAATGCAATGTATCCTATTTATTGATTTATGTATATTGAACTATGTTTGCATCCCAGATACGAATCACACTGGATCATGGTGTATGATCCTTTTAATGTACTGTTGAATTCAATTTCCTAGCTGTTGTTGATAAACTTTGCATTCATATTCATCAGATATATTGGCCTGCACTTTTTTATAGTGTTCTTTATTTTTAAAAAGATTTTATTTATTTATTCATGAGAGACACAGAGAGAGAGGCAGAGACATTGGCCAAGGGAGAAGCAGGCTCCATGCAGGTAACCCGATACAGGACTCTATCTGGCACTCCAGGATCACGCCCTGGGCCAAAGGCAAGCACTTAAAGGCTAAATCACCCAGGCATTCCTTTTATAAAGTTCCTGTCTGGGGATCCCTGGGTGGCGCAGCGGTTTGGCACCTGTCTTTGGCCCGGGGCGCGATCCTGGAGACCCGGGATCGAATCCCACGTCGGGCTCCCGGTGCATGGAGCCTGCTTCTCCCTCTGCCTGTGTCTCTGCCTCTCTCTCTCTCTGTGACTATCATAAGTAAATAAAAAAAAATATTTAATGTTTGTGTCTTGTTTTGGTATCAGGGTAAGGCTGGTGTCATAAAATGAGCTTGGGAATGTTCCTTTCTCTTCAAATTTTTGGAAGCATTTCAGAAGGATTGGTGTTAATTCTTTTTTAAACATTTGGTAAAATTCATGAGTGAAATCATCTGAACTTAGACTTTTCTTTGTGGAGAGGTTTTTGATGACTGCCTCAATCTCCTTCATCATTATAGTCTGTTCATATATCCTATTTCTTCATGATTCAGTCTTGCTAGGTTGTACGTAACTCAGAATTTATCCTCTTCTAGGCTGTGCAGTTAGTTGGCATATAATTGTTCACAGTAGTCTCTTATAGTCCTTTGTATTTCTTTGTAATGTCTCCTATTTCATTTGTAATTTTATTTATGTGGATCTTATCTCTTTCTTGTTGGGTTAGTCTAACCAAAGGCTAATCAATTTTATCTTTTCAAAGAACTAACTCTTAGTTTTATTGATCTTTTCTATTTTCTATTTCTCAATTTCAGTTATTTCTGCTCTAGTCTTTATTATAATTTCCTTTTGTCTGCCAACTTTGGGCTTAATCAGGTATCTTTTTTTCTAGTACCCTGCGATGTAAAATTTGGTTGAGATCTTTTTTTTTTTTTTGACATACATGTTGATCCCTAAATTCCCTGTTAGAACTGTTTTATTTTCATCCCGTAAGTTTTATCTCAACAGATATTTGTATTTCATTCTTTAAAAAACGAAAACATTCTGTGGGTCTATTAGTTGTTCAGGAGCATTCTGTTAGTTTCCATGTATTTGATTTTTAGTTCCATACCCCTGTGGTTAGAAAAGAGAGTTGGGGTGGCTTGTACCAACCGGCTAGATCAGTGTCCACATGGCATAGGCCTCCGCTGCAGCCCTGTTCAGGCTGCAGGGCCTCGAATCTGCTGTAGTGCCTGCGGCTGGTGGGGCAGCTCAGAGAATCCCATGGACTGTCTGGGTATACAGACATGTTTAGAAGTCAGAGAGTGTATCAGATCTCAAGTACAGAATGGCACTTATGGCTCTGGTTCCAAAAGATGAGCATCTTGAAAAATACCAGAAGCTATGAAGCAGCTAACCCAGCTCCTCCCAGAGGATCTCAGAAAGGAACTTTATGAAATTTGGGAAAAGTATTAGACCTAACCTAATGCAGAAGCCAAATTTGTGAAGCAGCTGGACCAATGTGAGATGATTCTTTAGGCATCTGATTATGAGGACCTTCAGAACAAACCTGGGAAGCTGCAGGGCTTCTATAATTCCATAGCAGGAAAATTTAGTCATGCTGATTGGTCCAACTTGTTTCTTAACTTGATGCAGAAATAAACACTAACATAGCTGCCACCACCAGTGAGCCATGTTCTTGACATGTTCTCTGTATTGCTACACTCATGTGACAAACATTTTATTTTTCTATTTCACAATGTTGTTTTGCCACTGTTTGTTGATTCCCCTGATGTGAGTCTATTCATTTGCAAGAGCCTAGAATCCAGTAAGAAATGTGATAAAATCAGGATGCCTGGATGGCTCAGCGGTTGAGTGTCTGCCTTCAGCTCAGGGTGTGGTCCTGGAGTCCCCGGATCGAGTCCCACATTGGGCTCCCTACGTGGAGCCTACTTCTCCCTCTGCCTGTTTCTCTCCTCTCTCTGTGTGTGTCTCTCATGAATAAATAAATAAAATCTTTAAAAAAAAAGAAAAAAAAGAAATGTGATACAATTTGGATAATAAAAGAAGCTAAGGAACAGATGTGATCCTTAAAATGCCATGGATGCAGACTGAGGGCAGTTTTTTTTTTTTTTCTTGGTGGGCAGTAAAGCAAAGTTTATTGATCAGTGGTATAAAGCTCCTAGAGAAGGAGGGCCAAAGCGCATTGCTGTTGGAGTTTCTAAGTGTAGGCGGTTTTATGAGCTCTTTTGTGGAACTATCTTAAGCATTGGTCACGTATCTGTCTACCTATTAGGTAAATGTCCACGAGCTGATGGTCTTTTTTTTGTGACATCTGGGGGCTTATGTCTTAACTGGAGGACAGTGTATTTTTAAAATACAATTTAAAACCTTAAAAAAAAGGAAAATATACCTGGTATGACTTTAATCTTAAATTTGCTAAGACTTTGGTTATTTATCATATGATTTATCCTGAAGATTGTTTCATGTGCACTTGAAAAGAATATGTATTTTGCCGCTGTTGTATGAAATGTTCTATATATATATCTATTATGCCCCTTTGGTTAGTGTTGTTCAAATCTACTGTTTCCTTATTGATTTTTTGTTTGGGTAATTATTTATAATTGTTACATCTTCTTGATAAAATTGCCCTTATCATATCTTGATGTACTTTTTTTTTACCTGTTTTCTCTCTCTTTTTTTTTTTTTTGCTTTACTTCTAATTTGTCTAATAACAGTTTTGAATAACAGTTTCTTTCTTTCAATATTTTGAATATACCATCCGACCATCTCCTGGCCTGCCATGCTTCTCTATGGAAATCCACTGATGGCCCTGTAAGTTTTCTTCACTCTTCCTTTTTGTTTATTTTTTTTAATATTTTATTTATTTATTCATGAGACACACACACAGAGAGAGAGAGAGAGAGAGAGAGAGAGAGAGAGAGAGAGAGGCAGAAACACAGGCAGTGGGAGAAGCAGGCTCCATGCAGGGAGCCCGACATGGGACTCGATCCCAGCTCTCAGGGATCAGGCCCAGGGCTGAAGGTGGCGCTAAACTGCTGAGTCACCTGGGCTACCCCTTTTTTGTTTATTTTTATGCCTGTGGCTGCATAATGTCAAATGATGTATTTTTCAATTCACCCATTCTTTCTTCTGCCTGATCAGTGTAATGTTAAATTTTCTATTGAATTATTCAATTCAGTCATTGTATTCTTCATCTCTAGGATTTCGGTTTGGTCCTACTCTTCTTTGTCAAACTTCTGATTTTGTTCTTATATTAATTTCCAAATTCTGTTCCATAGTCTTTCTTAGTGTTCTTGTAGCTCATTCAACTTCTTTAAGAGGATTATTGTGAATCCTCACATTCGTCCTTAGGGAGGACGAATGTGATCAGCTCCCCATTTCTACTCAGAGAAATATGCACTTGCTAGTTGTACAGAACACTTTTTAAAATGTTTTTCCCCAGGAGGCTTTATCAAAGTATAACTCTTACAGAGATTAATGTATGCCATCATAATGAAGAGGCATTAAATCTTAGTCTTCTAGGAAAAAAATGTATCTATATTTAGAACATTTAAATAAGGTAATCTGTAATGCAAGCCCACATTACAGAGTTGAGGAATTTCCATAGAGACATAGTCTGCTCAAAGGACAAACACTGGTCCTCTGACATTTATAGAGACAGTCTGAGGGGGATATGGCAAAACTCTCACAATACAAACTCATCAAGCTTTTTCAAAGTCAAAGCAAACTTGATGGCTTAAAAACAAATGAACAAACAAAAACATCTACAGTGACTATGCCCTTCCAGGTAAAATCTTCAGTTCTTCCTTCCAGAAATTAAACCAGACAGGGCCAGACATACCAAGAATTATAGTAATATGTTAGATCCTATACAGTGCTTTATTCTACAGAGCACATTATTTGGTTTAATCCATCTGCATTCTCAGATGTGGAAACATTTAGCTTAAGATTTAGCAAGCTAAAATAACTGGCTCATGGAAGGCAGAATAATAGAATAGAAAGAACAAAAGAGTTAGAACCATGAGAGATCTTGTTGTGAATCACAGGTCTGCTACTCTGTCACTTACCATCTATGTGACATTGGGCACTCTAAGCCTCAGTTTCCTTTTCTGAAACATGAGGAAAATAGTACGAACTTCATAGGATTGTTCCATTATTTAATGAGATAAAATGTATTAAGTGCTTGACACAATCTCTAGAACATGTTATATGTCTAACAAAGAATAACTTTGACATTTACCGATTGGTCAAGAGCACGCTAATTAACCATTTGGCCTCCTCACTTTCACATCCATAAGATGGTAACAATATTTACTTAACAGTCATTGTGATGATGAATGTACAGTAAATGATAGGCAGAAACAATCCTGGAATTTAGATCTTCAATGTTGAATACTCTTACTTGTAACAAAGCTAGATACTATTGATTCTATTACCCAAATATAGAAGAACATTTTCCCTCAACTCCATTGAGAAAATAACAATCTAGAAATACCTGTGAAAATGAATTTCAAAAGGAAAATATGCACATTACCTGAATTAAGGCTTCACTCAGCATGTCTTCATTAACCTCCAGAATGATGTTTTTTATATCTTCATATGGCATACGATATGATCCTAGGAATATAGCTAAAAATAAAAGTAGATTTTATTAAAAATAGAAAAGCATAGAAAATTTAAAGGTCTAATAAATACCTTCTCATTTTCACATGCTCAAAATATGAAATCTGTCACTTGTATTAATTCATAATTAGGGGATCCCTGAGTGGCGCAGCGGTTTGGCACCTGCCTTTGACCCAGGGCGTGATCCTGGAGACCCAGGATCGAATCCCACGTCTGGCTCCCGGTGCATGGAGCCTGCATCTCCCTCTGCCTGTGTCTCTGCCTCTCTCTCTCTCTCTCTCTCTCTGTGACTATCATAAATAAATAAAAAAAAATAAAAATAAAAATAAAAAAAAATTCATAATTAGGAACAAACAAAAGTAGTTTACATTTGACAGACTATACTACTTATTGAAGCAAAGTGGCCTATTATTTCAGGATCTAATATTTACAAGTTGTACATATTTATATGGAAATTAAGACTCCTACTAATTATGCTGATGACTACAAGTTTATGCATTTTAGAACAAGTTGATACAAAATGACTCGAGATATTTTATTTAAAGTTGGCTTTTGAATTCAATGTGGAATTTAATATGGATATTGTCAGATAAATATAATTCAGTACTTCATATCAATCTACTACTGCAATTTTTCCACATAAGAAAAAATTAAAGTGTCTAAATGATCAAGGTTGTCTGAATTCCTGCTGAAAATCAGGAAGTAGCTGTGTATTTTCACAATTTCCCTTGTCAACTTTTTCTTGATTGAATATATATTATGTCATACTGAAATATGTCAAGAAATCACACTGAGAAAAGCTTAAAACTAATTCAGAAAGTATTTTATAACAACATATTTCACTGTAACTTCCACTAAACATACATTTTAATGAACAATCATATGTTCTTATCATGAGAACATGAATATGTTTTTAAGAATATTTAAAAAAAAAGAATATTTTTTTTTTCATGAAAAGGTCTGTATGATTTCACTGGTGCCTAAAGGAAAAAACAAATCCTCACTGTCTAGGCAATTGAGTACCTAGACATAAACACCAAGTGAGATCTCCATAATCTAAATAAATAATGCTGATAGACATCAACTAGCAATTAAGATCATACTGTGTTTTTTTTTTTTTAAAGATCCTTAACATCCACTTTATAGAGAAAATGTACTCTCAGTAAGCAATGTATACATTCACAGCAACTATTTGGAGGCTTCTTTTCTGACAGCAGCTTTCCAATTCACTGGAGAATAATGACTTGTTTATTTTAATCTGATTTGCTATAGCGTATCCCTTAACAAAATAAACTCCCATGGTATTTCCTTGCATAATTAGAAATGCTTGATGTGTTGTAATTTCTCATGCTTTGTGTTTTAGTATCCTCAGAGCAGTCTACTCTGGTAAAAAATGCTGAATTCAATACAGAGGGGAGAATATGTCAAAATAAAATGTAGGGCTTAGTTACATGAAGATAGGTTTAACTATCCAGCTTCTTTAGCAAAAGCATATTTAATGGATGAATGATTTGTTGAAGGCTTTAAGGTTCAGTAGCCAGGTTTTCAAAATCTTTTATATAAATTTAGTTAATATAAAGTACAATATTGGTTTCAGGACCAGAATTCAGTGATTCATCACTTACATACAATACCCAGTGCTCATCACAACAAGTGTCATCTTTAATACCCATCACCCAACTAACCCATCCCACATCTATCTCCCTCCATCAACCCTCAGTTTGTTCTCTGTCACTAAGTGTCACTTATAGGTTGTTTACCTCCCTCCTATTTTTCTTTTCCTCCTTCCCATATGTTCATTTGTTTTCTTTCTTAAATTCCACATATGAATAAAATCATATGGTATTTGTCTTTCTCTGACTTATTTCACTTAGCATAATACACTATAGCTCCATCTATATCATTGCAAATGGCAAGATTTCTTTTTTTTTTTTGATGGCTGAGTAATAACCCATTATATATATATATACCAAATCTCCTTTATCCATTCATCAGTCAATGGACATTTTGGCTCTTTCTTTATTCTGGCTATTATTGATAATGTTGCTACAAACACCAGGGTGTATGTATCCCTTTCAATGTATACTTTTGTATCCGTTGGGTAAATAGCTAATGATGCAATGGCTGGATATTTAACGTATTGAAGAACCCCCAAACTGCTCTCCAAAGTGGCTGCACCAGTTTGTATTCCTACAAAAGATGTAAGAGGACTCCCCTTTTTCCACATCGTTGCCCAAACCTGCTGTTTCTTGTGTTAATTTTATCCATTTTACAGATGTGACATGGTAATTCATTGTGGTTTTGATTTGTATTTTCCTGATGATGAGTGATGTTGAACATTTTTTCATGTGTTTGTTAGCATCTGGATGTCCACTTTGTAAAAGTGTCTATTTGTGTCTTCTGCCCATTTCTTCTTCTTTTTTTTAATATTTATTTGTTCACTTGGGGTGGGGAAGAAAGAGAGAGAGGAGTGGCAGAGGAAGGAAAGAAACCCAAGCTGACTCCACCGTAGCAGGGAGCCTGACTTGAGGCTCTGTCTCAAAAACCTAAGATCATGACCTGAGCCGAAATGAAGGGTTGGAAGTTTAACTGAGTCAGCCACCTAAGCACTCCTTCCTCTGCCAGTTTCTTAACTGGATTATTTGTTTTTTTGGGTGTTGAGTCTGATAAGTTCTTTATAGCTTTGGATACCAACTGTTTATCAGATATGTCATTTGCAAATATTGTCTCCCATTCTGTAGGCTACCTTTTAGTTTTGTTGATTGTTTTCTTTGCTGTGAATAAGCTTTTTATCTTAATGAAGTCCCAATAGTTTATTTTTCCTTTTGTTTCCCTTGCCTCCAGAGATGTGTCTAGTAAGAAGTTGCTAAGGCCCAGGTCAAAGAGATTCTGCCTGTGTTCTCCACTAGGATTTTGATGGTTTCTCCTATCACATTTAGGCCTTTCATTCATTTTGAATCTAATTTTGTGTATGGTAAAAGAAAGTGGTCCAGTTTCATTCTTCTGCATGCATTCTGTCCAGTTTTTCCAACACCATTTGTTGAAGGGAATTTTTTCCATTGGATAGTCTTTCCTGCTTTTCAAAGATAAGGTGACCATATACTCATGGGTCCATCTCTGGGTTTTCTATCCCAGTCCATTGATCTATGTCTGCTTTTGTGCCAGTACTATAATTGTCTTGATCACTACAACTTGGTTATGTAACTTGAGGTACGGGAATCATGGTGTCTCCAGTTTTGTTTTTCTTTTTCAATATTGCTTTGGCTTTTCAGGGTGTTTTGTGCTTCCATATGAATTTTAGGATTATTTATGAAAAATGATAGTGATATTTTGATAGAGATTACATTAAGTGTGCACATTGTTTTGGATAGTATATACATTTTAACACTGTTCTTCCAATTCATGAGCATGGAATACTTCCATTTCTTTGTGTCCTCTTCAATTTCTTTCATAAGTGTTCTATGGTTTTCCAGAGTATAAATCTTTTACTTTTTGAGTTATTTTATTCCAGGGTATCTTATTGTTTTTAGAACAATTACAAATGGGATAGATTCCTTGATTACTTTTTCTGCTGCTTCGTTATTAGTGTATAGAAATACAGCAGATTTCTGCATGTTGATTTTATATCCTGCAACTTTGCTGAGTTCATGTATTATTTCTAGCAATTTTTTGCTGGAGTCTTTTGGGCTTTCTACATAGAGTATCACACCATCTGCAAATAGTGAAAGTTTGACTCCTTCCTTGCCAATTCAGATGCATTTATTTCTTCTTGTGTGATTGATGAGCTCAGGACTTCCAGTACTATGTTAAGTAGTAATGGTAAGAGCGTACATATTTGTCTTGTTCCTCAATGTGGAGGAAAAGCTCTGTTTCTCCCCATTGAGGATGATAATATGTGTGGGTCTTTTATATATGGCCTTTTGATGTTGAGGTAGGTATTTTCCATCTATCCCTCCTTTGTTGACAGTTTTTATCAAGAAAGGATGGTGTATTTTGTCAAATGCTTTTTTCTGCAGCTATTGAGAGGACTGGTGGTCTTTCTTTATCCTTTCTTTCATTAATGTGGTGTATCACATTGATTTACAAATAATGAACCACTCCTGCAGCCCAGGAATAAATCCCACTTGATGGTGATAAAAAATTATTTTAACGTACTGTTGAATTAAATTTGATAGTATTTTATTGAGAATTTTTGCATTCATGTTCATCAAGGATATTAGACCCCTTTTTTTTGTCTGATTGTGGAATCAAGGTAATGCTGACTTTCTAGAATGAATTTGGAAAATTCCCTTCCATATCTGTTTTTTGAAGCAGTTTGAGACAAATATTAACTCTTCTTTAGATGTCTGGTAGAATTCCCCTGGGAAGCCATCTGGCCCAGGACTCTTTAATTGTTGGGAAATTTTTCATTGCTGATTCAATTTCTTTGCTAGCTATGGGTTTGTTCAAGTTTTCTACTTCTTCCTGTTTCCTGTAAGTTTCTATGAGTTTGTCCATTTCTTCCAGGATGCTCGGTTTGTTGGCATATTATTTCTCACACTATCCTCTTCTAATTGTATTTCTGTGGTATTGGTTCTGATCTCTCTTTTCATTTGCAATATTATCTATTTGGTTCCTTTCCCTTTTCTTATGCATATGTATGGCTAAGGGTTTATCAGTTTCATTGGGTCTTTAAAAGAAGCAGCTCTTAGTTTTGTTAGTTTGTTCTACTGGCTGTTTTTTGTATCTAGATCATTTATTTCCCCTATAATCTTTATTATTTCCCATCTTCTACTGAATTTAGACTTTATCTGCTGTTCCTTTTCTGAGCTTTCACTATAAGATTAGGTTGGGTATTTAAGGCTTTTCTTGGGCAGCCCCAGCGGCACAACGGTTTAGCGCCACCTGCGCCCTGGGGCGTGCTCCTGGAGACCCCGGATTGAGTCCCACATCAGGCTCCTTGCACGGAGCCCACATCTCCCTCTGCCTGTGTCTCTGCCTCTCTCTCTGTTTGTGTGCCTCTATGAATAAATAAAGAAAATCTTAAAAAAATAAGACTTTTCTTTATTCTTGAGGTAGGCCTATATTGCAATATACTTCCTTCTTAGAACTGCCTTAGCTACATCCCACAAGTTTTACACTGTTGTGTTTTCATATTCATTGTTTCAGTGTAATTTTTAAAAATTTCTTCTTTAATCTCCTGGTTAATCTATTCATTCTTTAGTGTGATGCTCTTCAACCTCCATGTAATGGCAGTCTTTCCAATTTTTTTCTTGTGGTTGACTTCAAGTTTCATAAAGCTGTGGTCTGAAAATATGTATGGTATCATCATGATATTTTTGTACTTGTTGAAGGCTGATTTGTGACCCAGTATGTGATCTATTTTGGAAATCTATCTATGAAAAGCATGTGTGTTCTGCTGCTTTAGGATGGAATGTCTTGGATATATCTGTGAAGTTCATCTGGTGCAGTGTATCTCAAAGCCCTTGTTTTCTTGTTGATTACCTGCTTAGGTGATCTGTCTATTGCTGAAAGTGGGGCATTAAAGTCACCTACTATTACTGTATTATTATCATCAATGAGTTTCTTTGTCTTTATTGTTAATTGATTTATATAGTTGGAGACTCCTAATTTGGGGGCATAAATATTTATAATTGTTAGATCTGCTTGATGGATAGACCCCTTTATTATGCCTTTCTTAATCTCTTGTTACAGTCTTTGGTTGAAAACCTAGTTTCTCTGATTTAAGTATGGCTATTCTAGCTTTCTTTTGACATTCATTAACCTGATAGATGGAGGCAGCCCTGGTGGCTCAGTGGTTTAGCACCGCCTTCCACCCAGGGTGTGATCCTGAAGACCCGGGACTGAGTCCCACATCAGGCTCCCTGTATGGAGCCTGCTTCTCCCTCTGCCTGTGTCTCTGTCTCTCTGTGTGTGTATCTCTCATGAATAAATAAATAAAATCTTTTTTAAAAAACATGATAGATGGTTTTCCATCCACTCACTTTCAATCTGCAGATGTCTTTTGGTCTAAAATGAGTCCCTTGGAAGCAGCATATAGATAGATCTTCTTTTCTTTAACCATTCTGATTCCCCATGTCTTCTGATTGAAGTATTTAGTTCATTTACACTCAGAGTGATAATCCAAAGATATGAATATAGTGCCATTGTGTTATATGTAGTATTGGTGTTTCTGGTGATGGTCTCTGGTCCTTTCTAGTCTTTGATGCTTTTGGTCTTCTCCACTCAAAGATTCCCCCTAAAAATTTCTTGTAGGGATAGCTGAATGCTTTTAGTTTTTGTTTGTCTGGGAAACTCTTCAACTCTTCTGTTCTGAATGACAGCCTTGCTAGATAAAGAATTCCTGCCTGCATATTTTTTACCATTCAGCACATTGAATATATCCTTCCACTTTATTCTGACCTGTCAGGTTTCTCTGGACAGATCTGCTGCAAATGTGATTTGTTTTCCACTAAAGTTTAAGGATTTTTTTTTTCTGTTGCTGCTTTCATTGTCTGTGTATTTTGTGAATTTGACTATGATGTGCCTTGTTGATGCTTAGCTTTTGTTGGATTTAATAGGTCTCTGTGTTTCTTGGATTTTGATGTCTATGTCCCTATATTAGAGAAGTCTTCAGCTATAATTTGAATGAACAAACCTTCTGTCTCTTTGTCTTTATCTTCTGGGATTAATTCCAAAAGGTGGTAGTTTTCTAAGTGTTTACTTGCAGTTTTTGTTCTCTGAGACCTCTGATTGTTTTCTTGGGTGTTCAAAATAATTTAATAACTACCTAGCTGTGTTTGAGAGCCCTGACAAACTTTGGGTACCCCAACTTCTCCACCATTTTAACTCCTTCATGAGGTTCACTAATCAGTTTTAAAGTTTAGTGGTAACAATTTAACTTTCTACCATCGCAATTACTTTAACTATAAAGGCATATCGATAAAAGAATTTGCCCAATGTGACCAGTGAATACTCCAAAACTAAAACACCCAAGCCTAGGCAGAAAAGGGAAAATAACACTCTTTTAAACTATGCCTTATATCTCACTCTGTCTTTTAACAGTGCTAAACTTTAAGTATCTTCCAAAGCTTTATTATTCATAAGTTTCATCTGACCTGAGGAAGACAAAATTATGGTCTTCATTCTGGCTAAAAGACAAAAAGGCAATTCAAATCATGTTTGGGGAAAAAAAAAAAAAACAAATCATGTTTGCATGCAATTTTGTTTCTAGTGGATGCTAAATATACCTGTTAAAATCAGTTACAACTTTGTTTAAAAATATTCAACAACTCATCACCATAATCACTACCACCCCTATTTAGAAAATAACACATACACAGATTCTGGGCCATTTTGTGATCCAAAATTCTCAATTCTTTCACTTTCTTCTTTGCAGGCAAGATCTTCTTTTCTTCTGAAGCTTCTACATTCTTTTGAACTAAAGGAAAAACATTTTACCATAAAAAATAATGGTATTATTCCAATCACACAAAATAAATTAGTAAGGCATATTAACTACATTGATAAAGCTTATGTGAAATATCAATAAATGTATCTATTTCATTGTATTTCAATATAATATATTGAATAAACATAATATAGGTATAAATAGAGGTTTACTTAAAAATTAAATATCAGCACTTAAGCAAAAAAGATAAGCCAAATAGTACTAAAAATCAATTACTACTTTTTATCTAATGTGCAACATTCATTACTCCTTTAACAGGAATCTACAGCAGCACTGAAATTAAACATAGAGTAAAATCTCCCTAATTTGGACTAATTGAGGGAAAAGGCAAAATATGCATTCATCCTAAAATATGCTAAATTTTAGACATGTCTTTAATTCAGTGTAACTGCTTTTAAGTATGTAAAGCACTAACTGCTAAACTGGTTGCCATATAAAAATTCCTGCTGAGATTGCTTTGAAGAATAAATATGAACCATTTGCAAGTTGCACAACAACAGTACCATTTACATGCACATAATTAATGGACCTGAAACTCTGAGAAGTAGAAGTGCCAAGGAATGGCTCCACCCCCCCGCCTCCCGCCACACCCCGCCATAACCTCCATCAACTCTCACCCAGAAAATGCATCCCAAAAACCAAAGTGAAAAAACAATGTGGATATCTGCTATGAAAATGAAGCTTTATGGCAAATCCCTAAACTCTCCTATACAGAAATTCTATAGCTACCATTGTACTCATGTGTTGGCAGTTTATGTCTTCTAATATAAAAATATGGTCATAGATAATGGGACTGTTAAAAAAAATGTGAGAAAAGTAAAGCCAACATTTTTTTCATTCAAGTAGTGATATGCTTTTGTCTCCAAACTCATCCTGCTAAACTTCATCACTGAATCATAATACTGCTGCTTATTACTTTTAAAAATATAACTTCATTTTGAGGAAATCAATATTTTCATTATTTTAATTTATCTGGTTTTTGTTAAAGAGCTTACAAAGGAGTTACAGATTTTCTTTAGAGGAAAAGCAACACACAACCACAGTACATTTTTGCTAAGCTACATGTTCATAGATGTTACTATCTGGAAAACTTTCTATAAACATTATAGGATGCATTAAATACTGCAAGTCCATTAAGACCCCATTGTTTTAGTGGTGCAAGATATAAGAAAATGAAGTGAACTTTGTAGAAAAAAATAACAAAAAATTAATTACCTGAATAACTCACGTCTTAACATTTAGATATACCACTATGGACTTATCTAAAGTGATGCATAGTGTAAGCAGACTAGATAATAATTACACTTGAAAATCATAATCTCAAGTAGTTTGCCATGCGTATTCAATACAATAAAATTATTGCTACTCATGGAAACAAAAATGAGTTTTAATATATTTCCCTTGAAGTGCTCATAAATGTTTCTCAAAGAATCATTCTAAGAGCACAGTGTCTTTCTTGTACAATAATCAGCATTTTAATTTATTCTAATTTTAAGTCATGTCAGGTTAACAAAACTCTATAGAAAAAAATGACAGTCCAAGAATCATACCCTTTGTTAATAAAATAAGTATCTGAATAATATTAAAATTACTTCTAGAATCATTCAGAAAACTTTTCCCAAAGAAATAGTCAAGAAAACTATTCTGAGCTTCCAATATGTCTTAAACCCCACTATGGGAGATTAGTTAACTAAGTACATATAGGATGAAAATGCTGTAGTGTAATAGATATTGTAAGATTTTCTGCAAACTAACAAGGCTCCAGAAAAACCCAAACATACATAATGCTCATTTTGTATGACTTCATATTTTTGCATTTTTTCATTAAAATATATTCCAACATCTCCCCTTTTCAAATGAACAAATTGTTTCAAATTAAGATTAGATGTCTTAAGTATCTTAAATCTTAATATATTTCCCTTATAATATGCAAATTGGCTTTAGACTAGGTTGAAGAAATAAGAATTCCATGATTGGGCACCACTATTTTGAGAATTACTAAAGCAAAGCTAGTTTATTTTTTTTCAATTTTTTTAATGATTTTATTTATTTATTCATGAGAGACAGAGACGAAGGCAGAAACATAGGCAGAGGGAGAAGCAGACTCTTCACAAGGAGCCCTATGTGGGACTTCATTTAGGCCACCACCACACCCCCACCCATCACACCCTAAGCCAAAGATAGTGGCTCAACCACTAAGCCACCAGGCTTCCCGAACAAAACTAGTTTAAAACAGTCCCTAATTAGACAGCCTTTCACAAACAATAAAGGTTTTGCTATTATTGTCTTTAGCTTTCTTGTCTTTAAGAGCATTCCTTAGTGATCACAACCACAGGGTTAGATAAATAAATACTTTGAAGAAAAGTAATAACATATGAAACGTATCCCCAGATAGTACTGAAAGCTTCATATATTAAAACTGTCCTGTTTCTATGACTACAAAATGTTACTTGGTGTATGTAGGATGCGTTTATTACATATATGTTTCAAATGCTTTTAAAAAGTAAATATTCCATAGCTTTAGTGAAACAGGGGCAATAACTTGATTAAAATTTGAATAGACATTTCTCCAAAGAAGACCTACAGATGGCCAACAAGTATACAAAAATATCCTCAATATCATTAGGGAAATACAAATAAAGCCACAATGAGATATTACCTCAAACCATTTTTTCATGTTTTTAGAAATATTTTATTTATTTATTTAGGAGAGCACAAGAGAGCACAACCAGAAGGGAGGGGCAGAGGCAGAGGGAGAAGCAGACTCCCCGCTGAGCAGGATCCTTGGATCATGACCTGAGATGGCAAACACTTAACCCATGGAGCCACCCAGGTAGTCCTCAACTCACAGATCTTGGAATGGCTATTATCAAAAACTAAAGCAAAATATTGGTGAGGAAGTGGTGGAAGAATTGGAACCTTTATACATTGTTGGTAGAAATACAGAATGGTGTAGCTGCTATAGAGAACAGTACAGAGAGTCTACAAATAATTAATACTAGAAAAAAATTAAAACTCGAACTACCAAATGATCTACCAATCCTACTTTTGGGTATATAACCAAATTAACTGAAATCAGAATCTCAAAGAGATAGCTGTACTCCCATGTTTACTGTAATATTATTCACAAAACAGTCAATATATGGAAAGAATCTAAATATCCATCAAAAGATCAAGGGATAAAGAAATGTGGCATATACATAAAATGAAATGTTATTCATCTTTAAAGAAAAAAATCCTGCCTTATACAATAACACGGATGAACCTGGGGAACACTATGCTAAATGAAATAAGCAAGTCATAGAAAAGTACTGCATAATTATGAAGCATCTAAAATATCAAACTCATATAAACAAAGAGTAGAATTGTACAATTGTGGTTGCCAGGGACTGAGGGACAGGGAAGTGGGTAGTTGCTGTCACTGTTCAATGTATATAAAGTTTCAGTTTTATAAGATGAATAAACTCTAAAGATCTGTGGTACAACACTGTAGCTAAAGTTAATAACAATGGGTAGTGCACTTAAAAATTTGTGAGCGGGTACATCTCAAGTTAAAAGTGCTTACACTATAAAATTTATAGCATAACTTAAATTATAGTAATTTTCTTATTTGAAATTACTTGAATAGGACTGGAGAGATTTTTTAAGTTTCAATATAAAAACCTAAATAATTGATTTTGTCATCCATGGCCCTATGGTCCTCACATTATTAATGAGGCCTATAATCAAATGTGATCTCTGCATCTGCAAATGAAAAACCGTATAGCCACTGATTTTGAATCAGATGGATTAAATTAATTTCAGTGCTTCAATTAAATTGGTCACTGCTAATTGACCAAATAATAATAAAACATAAAATACTGTCTGTAGAAATATGATTTTTAATAAAGACATTTGTATTATTATGTTAACATCAAGATACTAATTATATAAAGGGTCCATTTAGTATTCTTATATTTCCTTTAATATATGGATTTTTAACTGCAATTGTTCTATCAAATTATTCCTTCACAACAATGGATACTCATTAACAAAAATAAACAGGGCTCTAATACTTTCCTGATCTAATTTAGGCAATGTTCATCAATCCCCTATTAATCTCTGCTATTGGGATCCCTGGGTGGCCCAGCGGTTTAAGAGCCTGCCTTTAGCCCAGGGTGTGATCCTGGAGTCCTGGGATCGAGTCCCACATCAGGCTCCCTGCATGGAGCCTGCTCCTCCCTCTGCCTGTGTCTCTGCCTCTACCTCTGTGTGTGTGTGTCATGAGTAAATAAAATACTAAAAAAAAAGAAATATCTGCAATCTCAGTGGATACATACATGTGACAAGATACCTGTAAGTTGTTGCAAATATTAAGATATTATAATGGGTACCACTGAATTCTTTGCATAATGATAACTATCATAAATCATAATAAATTATTTATAACTACCTTATCTTAAAATTCTAGTGAGAAAGATTGATTGCTAAAGTCAGCATCACCACTATTCATTAATTCATTTAATTAGCAAATACTTGTTGAACACCTACTATGTGTGAGCTTAGGGACAAGCATATAGAAAGACTTAAGTGTCTACTCATTTTTCTTAAATAGATGGTCATATGTAAACTACTAATTAGGGAAGTATCTCCAAAAGATCTCTAACATTTGTAAATTTTTTTATCCATAATAATATAGTTTGAATGAATATATGCTTATCACTCAGCAAACTCTCTTTTTATTATTAGAAGTAGTTTCATATTAAAGAATACTTTTTCTTAAACCAGCATCAACTGATGTATTACATCATATTATAAGAAATATGTGGAGAAGTAAAATTATGACACTTCCTAGTAAGTATACTAAATACAAACCTAGAATAAATAAAGCCAGTAAACAGTAGTGTTAAAAACCACCTAAAATATTTATATATAATATATGTATGTATGTATGTATGTATCCAACAAGTAAATGCCCAACTTGTTTTAGA